AGAGCAGCAGAATAGAAGATTATATTCTCCAAGAGAGCATCTTTATTTAATGTAAAGCAGAACATTGCGCTTTTTTCTGCAGTAGGAGCGGACAGCTTTTCCTTGAAATCCCCCAGATGTTGCTGTGTCACGATCATCCTTGCGCGGGTAGATAGATGGCGCCATTTCATAAAACAAAACCATCAAGCACCACGTAAGAGTGGATTTTGAATTCTCTCGCAGCTGCTCGATTCCAATGGTCCTCGGAGTCACTGATAGCTTGCAGTTTAAACTGCGCTTCGTAAGGGTGTCTCTTCGTAGCAACCATTTTCGGGATGTTGTTTTGCACAATGCACATACTGGCAACTACTGGGGGCGTGCCTTTAGCGTCCTCTTTCACACTTGCCTTTCCCACTTTAACGTCTGCATGTTGTCCTCAGTTACGTCTGCCTTTCCTCGATACAGTATAAGCAAGGTGTCAGCACAACATCAGTTTGTCAAGCGGACCCGTCATTGAAGTCACACAACAGCATTCACAGATTTTTGGAACTCTATGTATATACCGCTACATATGTATTATTAGGCGCCCCGTCCATTTTTGAGAAAATTTAAGACTTTTATGTGAGCCTTGTAGTTGTGAATTTTCACAACCATACGGTCCACATTTCTCGCCCAAAAAGCATATTCAGTGACTTTCTTTCAACACAGTTTGGGAAAACTTACAGCAGTGAAGACTAAACCGAACATAGAACAAAAGAACAACCAACCTGCAAAACATTTGGAGCATAGGTTCATCGTTTTGCTGGACCTGGGAAAAAATAAAACAGAGCAGAAAAAAACATTTTATATCAAAATGTCTCGTTCAAAATTGCTTTTTTTTTAATTTGCACGTGATAAATAATGGTTGACAAAGGAGAAGGCTATCTACAAGTCTTCAGCTATGATCTACAGTCCCAGGCTGAGAATGACTTATTCATTTGGGATTCATGTACAGACAAAAACATCAATAGCTTGACTCCAGAAGCTGATTTTCCCCTGTTTGTAATTTGGTAGAGAATTTCTTTCTATTAACTGAACACCACCGCCCTCACGACTCTTTGATCAAAAGTCTGAATGGCTCACTGAAGCTTTGCTGATTTCAGCGACAAGTGACAACTCAGACACAACAGCTGATCCTGGCTCTCTGCTGAGAGATAACTCATTTCCTCTCCAACCTCCCTCCCTCCGTACCATCTGTGCACCAAGCATGACGGTCAGTCAAATTTTATTTATTCGGAGCACACCTTTCGGTCCATTTCAGAAAAAGGGATCAGCTGTGGAAAACCCAACGTCTCTCTGTCACTCTTGTGATTGGTATGACACAGAAAAGAAGTGTAGATGAAAAAGCAACCTTATCATTGGGGCCATAAAATGGAGGACACAAATGCAATATTATTTGCAAAATGGCAAATGCGTTCCTAATCTGTTCTCAGCAAATGACCAGTTGATATACTATTGACGACGATACTAAGTAAGAAAGGATAGCAAGGATTATGATCTTTAGATCAAAACCACAGGTGAACTGCTAAAGTCACACATACCTGGGGCTGAATATTTTAGAATTGTCATGGATGATCTGGCATTTGGTCTGAACTTTTTGTGTAGAATGAAACCCTGCTATTGTGCTGCATATATCAAAAGACGGTGAAGCACTATTTTTCTATTAAACAAGGCTATGGCCTGCCTAAATAAAGCTGCTCCTCTCTCTTCACCATAGTTCCTTAGCAGAGACTACATGTCGGCAAAAAAAATAAATAAATTTTTGTTACTTCCAAGTTATGTCCTTGTTACAAAAAAAACCCTCCAGATTCAGTCCTAAGGTGATACAAAGGCGACATACCAAATCTTATTCAAATTTGTACACAATTTATTGTGCTACACTAGTAGCAAATAAATGCGTCCATTGTCTGGCTAAAAACAAAAATTCCTTTATTAGCCGATGTAATCAAATAAGATTCTTATCAGTGGCAAAAGAAGAAACATAAGCAGGAAGGGAATGACAACATGCTTGTTATGGTTAAGGAAGTTGGAGCAGAGCACAACCAATCAGTCTAAGGTGGTCCACCGCTGCTACTAATGAAAATAATTGGAATAGACAAAACGGTAAGCAATGCCTTCTCATTGATTCTGTCTGAATGACAGCCCTCATGGGCAAAAATAAATAAATACAAAAATATGAGAAGAAGAAAAACCTTTATTAGTCTCGCAATGGAGAAATTCCCAGTTCACAGCAGCAAAGTTATGAAAGGAAGAAGTAGAACAACAAATGGATGTTGGAGCTTGTTACAATGGCGCTGCATTTAACAGACGCTACCAAAGTGAGCTGTTCAATTCACTGCCATACAGTTAGGTGGCGGTGCATAAATACTGGAAGATCAACACAATTCTCATCTTTTCTGCTCTAAACACCACCACAAAGGGTTTTAAATGTAGGGAACGATATGAGCCTTAACTTCAGACTTCAGCTTTAATTTAACATCCAAATCAGGACAACTTTGTAGGAATTACGAAAGTTTGTATATGTGCCTCCCACTTTTTAAGGGACCAAAAGTAGTGGGACAAATTAACAATCATAAAACAAACATTCCCTTTTTAATACTTGCTTGTAAATCCTTTGCAGTAAATTACAGCCTGAAGTCTGGAAAACAGCCACTACCAGATGCGGGATTTCATCCTTAGTGATGTTCTGCCAGGCCTCTACTACAGCTGTCTTTAGTTCCTCCTTATTTTTTTGGCTATTGTCCCTTCAGATTCGTCTTTAGTATGTAAAATGGATGCTCAATTCGATTCCGGTCAGGAGTAACTTGGCAAATAGAAAATATTTCACTTGTGTCCCTTGAAGGAAAAAAAAAAATTTCTTTCGCAGTCTGCTTCAGGTCATTGTCCATCTGAACTGGGAAGCACCGTCCAATGAGTTCTGAAGCATTTTGCTGAATATGAGCTGGTAATGTAAAAATAAAGGTAGTTCCACTGGCAGCCAGAGATGCCCACGCCATGGCACTACTTCCGCCATGCTTCATTGAGGCGGTAGTACAGGCAGGTCCATAAATATTGGGACAGCAAGACAATTTTAATCTTTTTGGCACTACACGTCAACACAATGAATATGAAATGAAACAAATAAGGTGTGATTGATTTAGATTTCAGCTTTAATTTGAGGGTATTTACATACAATTGGTCGATGTGACTTTTGATATCCACTGTGAATAGATAGTTTGCGCAATATAATCACAAAATATAATGGATCAACCAAACTCTATGTTGATCACATAAGCATATGCCATTGCAAATACGTAAATAAGTTTACACTTGTGATCGTCAGCCTCAGCAGGTTTCTGAGCAGACCATGGAAAAGAAATTACTTAAAAATAAACTCACGCTGAGGATAAATAGCACAGGGTAATCTTTTTTTTAGGCATTCCATTCTCTGGCTTTTGTTGAGATGTTGATAAGGTCATCATTATCACTCGTTGTATACCTTGCATGAGAGTTATTGAAGTCAAGGGTAAATTGAAGTTTTCCTTTGCTTTAAAATAAGTCAATATATGAATGAATAACTAAATCACTCTAGTTAGTCTTAACTTTAATGATGAAAACATTGTCTGGATTCATGAGTCACACCCGCCTACCTTCATAAAAGTTTTAATTTCACACTCTGCAGTTGTTGTGAAAGCACAACATAGTGATGTATTGTATTGTATGGAGTAAAAAAATGACAAAGGTTTAACTTTGACAACAAATGCTAACATGAGGTGACATTATGGTTTTGATCAATAGTCCGCTTATTGACTTGCTGCATGTGACTCCTTCATAGCCCATTTTTTTGATAAATGCTTTAAGCCACTATGAACAGCTCAATATATTTGTTTCTCAGACATTTGCATACATTTAAATAAGTACACACCACAACCATCACTGCAGGTGGATGTTAATATGATATGCACTTGACTTAATACCCATAAAACTTAAAAAACATAAAAATGAAATTGTTGCGGGGTGTTTTTTGTCTGCTTTTGTTTTTTTATAAAGGTATTTTGGGACTAACTGTACTTGTCTCTTCATCACTAATCTAATTACGTACTTACAACAGATCTTATGTTACCATCGAACTCGCCACTGTCTATAGCTTCACAAAAATATACATATCAGTCTATTATTGGGCAAAGAAAAAGACACGTACGCGAGAGTGTGTGTCTAAAACAGGGGTGTACTGTACTGTATAAAAAATAAAACTAACGTGTGCATGATGCATTCAAATGCTTCCAAATGTCAGGATTTTGCAGGTCCACTGTACAGGAAGACAAAACAGTCGATGAAAAGAGAGAGCTTATTACAATAACGTGTCTAGGGAAACATACCCTCTCTAAAAGTTTGTTTGTCCATGGATTTGCACTTTTACCACGCCGTATTATTAGCCCTGTCACACCTGTGACATTAGCTGGATTATCAGTCCTGGTATCTCCGGGAGTGAGCGAGACCAGCTGGAGCTAGCTCGCAGCTAAAGCTACAAAACAATGGGGAAGGGAGGGGAAGAGGAGGAGGAGGAGGAGGGGGCTCATAACAAGCTCATCCCCGCTTGAGCTGCTAGCGCTAATGGCTAAAGCGGCTAAGCTAACCGTCGACAGTGAAGCTAAAGAACCACAAACAAGACGTATAGAAAGGTTACCGGTCTTACCCCCAGAAGCCGCAGGGACAACGCGGCGGTACGACATTGACGTTACTCGGGGGCTTGCTGCCCTCGCTCCCGGTGTCCCCCATGTCGGTCTTCCGTGTTGAGGCTCTCCGTGTAGCAGGTGAATCCGGGGATGGAGCGAGGGCCTTTCAATTCGCCTATAGATCCCCCCGTCTGGTTTCGCAGAAAACGCGGTGGCCCGACGAGATAATCCTTTTTTTTCGAATTTCGACGGACGTGGAGCAATTTGCCGACACGAGCGGCCACAAAGTCTAGTGGATTAAAACAGCCTGAAGAGAGAGTAAAACATGGGAGCCGTCAAAGCCGATGACGGACGGAACCACCGGGGATTCCTGGGCCGATCAGCTGGAGAGAGGAACAAACCAATGACGGAAAGGTAGGGGGATTGGTACAAACGGGGCTGCCAAATGCTTTACCGGTGGCATTATTCTGGACAACGACGCTGAAAGTTTACCCAACTAAATAACGTGAACATTATAGATACATATATAAAAGCCGGAGGATACATAATTCTCTAAGAAGGAGCGCCTGCGTTTCAGTCGACATGGTAGGTTCCATGAAAAAGTCATAAATCGGAAGCTCACAGTTTAAGAGTATTTTCGAGCTCAAGCGGGCACTAATGAGCAAAATTCTACTTCGGTTGTTTAATTGCCCTTGTTAGTCTATAATACACTAAAAACTGGGTTAATATTATTATTCTGCCAATTTCTACCCCTTTCACATTTCTCCATCAACTCAAACCGATCCAATCTAAAAGTATTCACTTAATTTAGGACATTCGGTTGGTCTATTTTCCACACTGACCAAATTGCCACTTTTCTCAGATCACCCCCCACCCCCCAGAAAAAACATTGAAGTTAAAGAGAACTTCAAGAAAAATGTTCCCCATCTTTGCCATTCCAAATTCAAACTGTTCAATTTATTCATGACACCCTGGTAACTATTGTCCACATTCCAAAAACTCAGACTTTCCCCAAATTGCACACTTCGTAGAGTATATTAACAAAATATATGTAATAGGATTAAGTTGCTTGATGTGGTCCAGTTGTAGTGACACAGCCTATATTATGACGTCAACAAGCTGCACTGTCCTCTCTTTTGCATTCTAGAGTCCCAACAGGTTGTATCTCTTCCTCACATGGTGGACATTTCCTTCACAGATAGGAACGTTTATGGTATGTAATGTTATAGTTCTGATTCTAGATAGTTCTATATATTTTTTCCTTTTGTTACATTATACCACTGTTTTTCCTCTGTCTGTCCCTTCATGAACCTATCGTATGAAAAAGGGGGATACAGACTACAAATAGCAGTTACATTGATATTTATTTACAATGAATTTGTCTTGTAAGGTAACGATGGTTCATAATGTATTAGAATTTGTTTAGTTGTCTTACAATTTTTGTTTCATTTGTTAAAAAATGAAAATAATCCCAACAAAAAGTGAATTCTTCCCTCAGTCAGGACAGTTTAAAAACACAAAATCTGCCCTCAGTCTGCCACTTGATCCACGAATGTCATGTTTTTAGTTTTTGTTCAACCTCAAATGTCAACACAATTTCTTTTGGAGCCTAAGTGGTTTCAACCAGCAGGATGTCCCACAATGTTCTTTCTGTCTACTGGGAAGAACATGTGGGCTGCAGATCAACGTGAAGAGTGATAGCTGCATCCTCGTTTGGTACAAGGAGATACACTAGAGGATTGCACAATAATATTTTCAGTGTTGCTACGGGCCATAATATAGTACAGGTCCCAACAATACATGCCAAAGTCTTGTTTGTTTCTCAGATTCCAAACTTTTAAGATCCCCGAACACTCTGCTGCTTAGCTATTTTTAGTTGCTGTTTAAAATAAACAAATGGTAACGGTCAGTCAGTGCAGTACACAGGGACACATAGTTAATTATTACAATCTTCATTCTGGGTCTCTCTGTGGAAAAGTGCTTTACTGCTTTTTCGTCCTCATAGCCTGAGTCCAGCCTGGGGCTCAGTGGTCCTCTAGAGACATTCTGAACATGACTTCAAAGACAGATCTCCTCCCCTTACATACTGTATACTCCCCTTTCTCTTCCATCACAGCAATAAACCCTTGAACTTGAATTAATCAAACGGGATGAAACACAGGTTAGACATCTTGTTACCCTCAAAAGTTAGTATGTGAAAATATTGTCATGTCAGTGATTCAATCAATCAAAGCTGTGGCTAGCCCCACTTAGTTTCCCCGGTTCATAAAGCAAGGTCCATTAGGATATGCTAGAATTAGTTTGGTATGAACGAACGTGAGACCCCTAACATGTTGGGGTGAATTAGAACAGAAACGGTATGACAGAGGTATTGATAGCTTACTTGATTCTTAACTGTGCTACAATTCCCCAAACCTGGACCCAATGGAGTATTTCTGGGATGTCATCACACCACAGACCATCATGACTGATATCCTGTCCTATGTCTGGGAGAATCATTACACAGGGTTAAATAGATATTTTGTGCTCTTGCCATCACTCTGAGGTTTTTTTTTTTTTTTTACAGAGCAAGTCCTGTTCTTTCCCACAAGGGCAGCATCAGTAGCCTCTACATTTATTTCCCTTGGCTCCGATCAAAGTCCCGACTATTCCAAGCGAGGCATCTCAAAATGTTATTCGTGTTCCATGTTGACCATGAGGTGGGGTCTCTATCTTGAAGATATTGAAGGTGTTTGCTCAGAAAATAAGCCATGGCGCTAAATGTATTTTGTACAGTAGCGCATCTCAGCCCATGAAGTAAATACTGATGAGCCGGCCACACATATATTAGTTCACGTGTCAATAGATAGTGTCAATTCTGTGCCGCTAATGTGAGGGAGAGCCACTTGGAAACAAGCTCTAAATGGATTCTATAGGAAATCTATGCCAGCACGTATGTCCATAAATGAGTCTTTCCTATCTTTTAATGCCATCTGAAGATAGGCAGCCCTGCTTGTTATTGACTGGAGGACAACCCACATCGCCGCTCAAGGATTCACACCGAGGGTGTTTATCAGAAAAACGGGATTACCTTGATGTCTGATAACTGTGAAAATGCCAGCGTGGGTTTAAACAAGCACACTCGGTGGATAGCAGATGTTTATTATGGATGTAAAGCCTTCAGGGATTTGCAGGCCTTTACCAAGCAAGGATTCCCATTTGGTCACTTAGGGGTTGAACACGCATGTTTTACAGTGTAACATAGGACTACACACGCGGACAAAATTGTTGACCCCTCTGTTAAGGAAAGAAAAACCCACAGTGTTCACTGAAATAACTTGGATCAAACAAAAAATAAAATAAAAATGTCATGAAAATTAACCACTGAAAATCAGACATTGCTTTTGAATTGTGGATTCATTGAATTACTGTATTTTTTTTTTAAAAAAACGGAGTAATGAAACAGTCCTGGGAAAAAAAGATGATGCCTGTGGAAAAGATAACAGAGGTGGCCATTTTACAAAGTTTTGACGATCCGTCATTTGTCATCCATCAGTAGCCTGGGTACACATCCGTCATTAGTGTGTTATTTTTCCAAGTCAAACCAAACTGTAATCGTCAGTCTGTCGGTCCATCATGTTATTTTAACCATGTTGCCGTCACACAGTAGACAGTCTTGAATGTCAATAATTTCACCAAGATTTAACAGAAAAACACAACCATAAAGGTTCATATGCAAGTGAATACACTTACAAAAAATATTAGACTCAAAGATTGTAGATTTGTGTTGTCAAGCCCAAACTGGAACTTTTTGAAGCATACCAAGAAAAGAACATTGTCCCTCCTGTGAAACACAAAGGAGACTCTGCTATGTTGTAGGGCTACTTTGCTACATACATCTGGCACAGGGTGTCTTGAGTCTGTGCAGGGTACATTCACACTTATGGGCAATCGAGATTCTTCAGCTGACTTAACAAAATGTGAATATTAAAAAAAAAAGGTTTCTGACTTGCTATAAAACACAACTTTATTTATAGAACACTATAAAATACAACCACAGCTGCATACAAAGTGCTGTACATAAAGTAAAAACCAGCCATATAAAAACAAGGACAGTTAAACAATAAATTAATAACATAAAAATAACACAATAAAATACAATGCTGAGTCCAATGCCAAAGATGAAAATGTGTTTTAAAACTTCACAGAGAGAGGGCTTACCTAACATTTAACAGAAGGTCATTCCAAAGGGAAGGCCCGTCAACCGAAAAAGCTTGATGCCCTCTGAGGCTCCGCTTAATCCTCGGTACCTCCAGTAGTGTCTGGTTCACTGACCTGAGGCACAAGGCAAGTACGTAGAGATGGAGGATCTCAGAGTGGTAAGTTGGGGTGATAGCATTTACAGATCTAAAAACAAATACAAGAATCTTAAAATGAACTCTAAAATGTACAGGCAGCCAGTGAAGGGAGGCCAGAGTTATGTGCTCCCTCCTATGAGCTCCAGTTAGGAGGCGAGCAGCAGTAAAGTTTGAGAAGTAGATTGTAACTATGGAGACGTTGCATCAAGCCAGATCAACGGAATCTTTTAGATTGTTATTCCCCTGGCCTCTTTTGTGCGGCCACTTGCGACTGTGCTCATAATTGCCCCTTATAGAAAAATGAAGATGGCGGGACTTGCCAGTCTACCCCAGGAATGTGTGGTCAGCGAGGCAGAGCCTCTCTGTCCCCTACCCTGCATATGAAAAGTTAAAAAAAAAATTAAATAAAAATGACTGCATTTTTTTTTCCATTTTAGTTCTCTGGTCCGTGCTCTCCATTGATTTCCTTTTTCAGTTCAATATGATGATTTGATCATTGAAATTGAAAGAGCTAAATTTGTATATTTCTTGTTCAAATCAAATGATGAGAAGGGAACTGAGGCATTGCACTTTCAGCGCCTCCAGCGACACTCACACAAGAGACATTGCTATTTGCCTTTACATCACCAATATATGTGTTTTATCACACATGTACTGCACACGCTGACGTTCAAGAGTCTGTCTAATATATCGAGTGAACGTCTTTAGTCTTTCTGATCGGCCAGAAAAGCGCCAGGAAGTGCATGGCGGAGCCAAGAAAACGTAGAACTGATTGAAGCACAATTAAAATATTTGAAAACAAATATTTCAGTTCAGGTCACAGTTTAAAAAAAACAGGCTAATCATCTGTTTTGGGTTCATGTTTTTATATCAGATTCCAAAGGAGTCAGTGACTCACGTACCAGGCATGAACCTTGCTTTTCGTGTGCGCTGATTGAACATGGTGAAATGATGTGATAAAGATTCCAATATGGAGGTTTACCCCCATACAAATCTCGCTTGACAGATGAAGAGGAATGTCTGACAATGAGCTCCGAGATCATAACCAGTCTGTGAAGCGCTGGGGGCTCCAGGCGGTGTTTAGAAGTGCGCACAGATGGGATAAACATCAGAGAGGATGCTGCCAGACACTCACTAAAAGCTGTTTACACTCCTCCAATCGAGACAAAATGCCCCCGAACAACATCATTTCTTTTTTTTTTTTGTTCTTTCTTATTTCCCTTCCATGAATTTTTTTTAAATCGTACTTAAACTGGTGATGTTTTTTCCACTACGATACACTTTTTAACACTCTTCGCTCTTTCATACCCTCATACACACACATCTTGTGTGTGCAGGATGTGTGGAGAAAAGCACCTGCGCATTAAACAGCATCTCCAACCTGCTCACCATCTCGCTATCCGTTGATCAAAGAGCAGCTAAACGCGCATCAAGTACAAGAGCGAGCCACGAGCTGAGCAGCCGCTGTGGCACAATGAGCAGGCAAAATTTACAGACGTGCCTCTGAATTCCCCCGGACTGCAACATACAAACATGCAGCACAGACACTTAGGGGCAAACAGATGTGCTGAGTGGAAACAAATGCACAAAAATGTTGCAGGGGAAAAATGCGACTTCATGAGGGCCTGACTGATTAATCAGATAGTAGCTGTTTTAAAATGGTTGCCTTTGTTGTTGTTTTTCACATTAAAACATTACAACATCAGAACAAGATAAAATTCGAATGTGCTTGTGACCCCCACCCCCCCAAAAAAAAACCAAAAATCAGCCAATTTTGGCATATTTTTCTCTCTGTTGTAAAGTTAAACAAATAATTTTGGAGAATGTATACTCAAACAGTCTTTATTGTTTATTGTTGTATTACAGAAGGAAAAAAATAATATATTTTATTAATTATATTTTATTAATTATATTTTGTATTACCGGTAATTGGACGATTATCGGTGAGCTGAATTTTACTCTGACTTGGGTGTTCACCCTTATACAACTAACAACTGCACTAACTAAAAGTAACCAGTAATTGGCAATGCATGTCAAATTTCTTGCCACATATTTGGAATAAAGTCTCCCTGATGAACCCACAAGAATACAGTATCTGAATGTAGCCTATGTGGATGTTAAATTATATAAGCCATATTTTTAGATAAGATTTTGTGACACATTGCTGAAGGACCCAGTAAACAAGCTGCAGCCTGCTTGTGAAAACAAGCAAGCACACAAAATCTGTCAAAGTCTCTTATGAAACATTTGTGAGAGGACACAGCCATTTCAATTTTAAACATTTTTTTTTCAAACTTTCGTTTTATCTGCAGCATTTTCTTTATTCTGTTTTTTTTTTGAATGAAAGGTCGCTGAATTGATTGCAGTATTATAATGCAAATCATAATCCAGCATCTGATTGAGAAAAAAAAAATCCCAGTAATATGATGATAAGGGTATGCGGATAAGGTCTAATCAGAGTTTTCCACTGTATCCCTTTAATGAGTCTATCTTTAAGTTTTTTTTTGTCTGTGTATTGGAGTGCTCAGTGATTTCATCAGCATATTGAGCATATTCCCTCTCAATCAGTCTGCATTGATTAGGATGCTCTCGGGCAATAACTGAATTGGTGAAACTGTACTTGATTACATCACAGCGAGTCTTACTTTTTAGTATAGTCGTCGATTTTCAACATACTATATATTGTATACTGTTATGTAGAAATGCATACAATTTTGAATCCGTTGTCTTCCAATTTGAACACTCTTTTGTTTTAGTACCAGTTGCAGTTAACAATCAAGTAGATGTCTTCCATTCGATGTGCCATTGAGTAAGAACTGTTGCATTCCTTGGTTTTTGATATGCAGTTGCATCAAAATAAACTAGGATGTTGCATAAAACTTATTTTGTCAGTAATTCAACAGGTGAAACTTGTATTAGATTAACCCCAAATAGAGTTAAATATAGATAGATAGATAGATAGATAGATAGATAGATAGATAGATAGATAGATAGATAGATAGATAGATAGATAGATAGAAAATCCTCCCACTAATTTTTCTTATCTGTTGTGCTGTGCTGCAGAGAGCACTGTGCTCTGTCAAGCTGCAGTGATCTCAAAATCTGCAGGGGAGTTTTCCTATCTGATGGAGGCTTTCATCTCCCACCCTTGGCCCACCTTCACTTGTGGACCACCGTGATGGTGCCCAAGCCCTCAGCTTTTGCCATCATCACGCTGAGCTTTGTAGCGTATGCCTTGGCTCCTTTCTTACCTGAGTGAAACCCTTCTGTCATTGTCACCAAGTGTCTGGCAACTGCAGCCTTCGGCAACTATGACTTTTATGGCACTCTTCATGACTACTGCATTTTGAAATCCGCTAAGTATTCTCCAAACTAAATGCAATAATTGTACAGTACCTTTAAATAACCTTTTCATGGTACGCAGCCTTGAAATAAGGAGGATTGGATCTCTTTCATTGGCGTGGCATGCCAGGAGCTCTTATTTTGGTGGTCTTTCTTTCATACTGGTGGAGCAGCCAGAACACCAGTAATGTTAGCGGCGGAGCTAACATCCCCGTTGGGACTTGTGGGGAGTTTTTGTTGCCAACTAAAATAACCTGGGCCAGTTTTATTTCAAGAAAAGATGTTATAACAGACAATTTCATACATGTTTAAGTAAAAGCTGTAATAAATATCACGAGCAATAAACTGAGCTTTGTCGAATTATGTTTTGCCACACTTCATAAACGGCTATTAAGACCCTATGGAAAATGATCACATTTTCCATACGCCTGAATAACAGCACGATATTATCTTACATGCGGCCAAGCTTATCTTTTGAAGCATAAAATACACATCAAAGAAGGTGTGCAGGAGGAGTGAAGGAAGCTTCGTCCCTACGTTCAACAATGCTCCACTGACATCTAGTGGTAATGTTTTTTTCTTCATTTTCATTGTGATCATCGACATCTTCTGTGTCAAACTAGTGTACGGTATTCACAAAGGTTAAAGGACACACATTCTTGCCATAATAACGCTGGACTAAAAACACAAATGTAAACAAAACCATTTATCATCTTAATCGCACCATTTTATTCTCGGCCACTTACATAGGCTAGCCAGAGGATCAAAACAACGCTTGTACATGAAATGTAAACATTGATGAAATCTCACCTTGCACCAAGAGAACAACGCCAGCTCCCAAAATGATGATAATGATTAAAAGTTTGGCCGCAGTGAAGTTGTTTTGCACATAACTTGCTAGTTTGACACTGCAGATGGTCCACCAATATTAAACATTTAATATCCTACTTGTCTGTTTAAACTAAACGTACAATTAAAGGCGAATCCAACATGAAAAGTGAGCGGCGTTTCCAGTATTTATAACTCTATAAGCACCATTGTTTGTGTTGTTAGTAGTTATCCGCAGAAATCAATGTTACTTTTAGCTGCAGCCGCCAGACACTTTGGTGACAATGACATGAGTGTTGCATTCAGGATAGAAACGAAGAGCAAACTTGGCAAAGCACAGCGTGATGATGGAAAAGGATGAGGGCTTGGACACCATCACGGTGGCCCACGAGTACAGGTAGGCCAGCGGGGAGTCGAAAGCCTCCATCAGAGAGGAATACTCCCCTCCAGATTTTGGGATCATGGTGCCCAGCTCGGTGTAGCACAGCGCTCCCGTGAAGCACAACCCGACAGATTAGACAAATTAGTGGGAGGCTTTTTCTCTGATAGCAGGTTCAAGAAAGCAACTCATTCGCGTCGTGGGTGAGCTGGAAACTATCCATGACTTTTGGGCAAGAGGCAGAGTACATCATCGGACTGTACAACAGTCAATTGCAGGCCACATATAGAAAAATAACCATGCTTCATGTTCTGCTATTAAAAAAAATGAAACCATATAATTATTTGTGTTGTATTACTTTAAGAAGACTCTGTTTTGTTTTATTTTGTTTTTATTTTGGTTTTTGGGATGAAGATCAGATCACATTTTATGACCAATTTATGCAGGAAAATTAAGAATTTCCAAAAACGTTGGTGAAATTCAGATTTTTATGACTTTCAGAAGCATCCGACGAAAAGTTTCACTTCCAAAGAGCAAGCAAGATGCGTTTTTGTGTATGTATTCCAGTTCATCCACCCTTTTTGAAAAACAGAGTATTCCCTCTGAAGTGGATGACCCTGGAGATAAGGGTGGCAACCTTAATCAGCATTCTCGTGATTTGATATGTTTAAAGTGGCTCCCACAATCAATGATGTCAGTGGCCAGCATTGCTGGAGGACAATATTTGACTGAATTCCTCGGCTTCATCATAACTCCCCTGTAGGCCATTAAAAGATTTGCTCATCACGCCCACTTGGCTGCTTGAATGTCTTAGAAACAAATTGGTTTATACACTGTGCTACCTTGACTTTCAAGTTTAATTTCACCGCGAGTGACCTCTTAACTCACTCATGTTTAACATTTTGGCTTGAAATAAAACAAAACAAATCAAAAATCAAGCAACCGTAAATAGTGTCTGTAAATACCAATGAGGGGAGGCCTTTATTTGTTGGAATTTTTGTAATATTAAACAATTTATAGGGCCGTGATCGTGTAGTGGTTAGTACCCTGCATGGTGATCGCAACAATCCTGGTTCGATTCCTGGTCACGGCATGTGCAAAGAGCATACTTAACTTCAGTGATCGAGTGGTTAGCGCATCGACCTCACAGTGCAGAGGTCGTGGGTTCGATCCCGCCTCCGGCCTTCCTATGTGGAGTTTGCATGCTCTCCCCGTGCCTGCATGGGTTTTTTCCGGGTACTCCGGTTTCCTCCCACATTCCAAAAACATGCATGGCAGGCTGATTGAACTCTTTAAATTGTCCCTCGGTGTGAGTGTGAGCGCGGTTTGTTGTTCGTCTGTGTGCCCTGCGATTGGCTGGCAGTCGGTTCAGGGTGTCCCCCGCCGACTGCCCGAAGTCAACTGGGATAGGCTCCAGCTCCTACCGCGACCCTTGTGAGGATAAAGCGAATCGGAAAATGAATAAACAATTTACAGGTATATCTTGTGTGTAATTAAGGTGGCAAAGGAGCTACCACGCACCGCATTGTGTGTGTAGTATGCAGTAGTCATGTACAGGAATAAAAATCGAGGTTACCCTTGGCTGCAGCTGCCAAAACCTTGGTGACAATGACAGCAGGCTTGCATTCAGGATAGAAAGGAGCTTTGGCATGCTCGTCAAAGCTCAAGAGTGATAATGGAAAAGGATGAGGGCTTGGACACCATCACCGTGGTCCACGAGTAAAGGTAGGCCACCGAGGAGCAGGAAGCTTCCATCAGATAGGAATACTCCCTTCCAGATTTTGGGATCAGGGTGACCAGCCTGGCGTGGCATCGTGCTCCTGTGAAGAACAACCCAAAAGATAAGACAAATTAGTGGGAGGCTTTTTTTCTGATAGCGGGTTCAAGAAAACAACACATTAACCTGTTCAATCTGACCTTTGAAAGAGAGGCAGGGTCACATTAATTAACACCTATGGACAATTTAGAATGTACAGTACATGGATGTTTTTATTTTGGGGTCGGGGGTTGTTATGTACTGTAATTTACTACGTTGCTCTTGATATGTATGTATATTCGTGAATGTTTAAAATATTCATTGCTTGTGATGTTTGTATTTGTTATTTCAATTAAAAAAAACAATGACAAAAACCTTGTTTGAGTGGGTGAATGTATGGTGGATTTGTGAGGTGGGATTCGTTACATTTGTACAATCAAAAAAGACCTAATAGGCTACAAGAACTGTAATTTTGACTTTCCAAACGTTATTAATGTTCATCTTTTTATAACACTGTCAGTTAGGTACTATATATGATTATCATTAATGGGGTAGCTCCTAGATTGTAGAACTGCACACTGAGAGCAGTTTCTCATATTTTGGCTCTTATTTATCTTACCCAAGAGGGCAAAATATTGGAAGTACCCTCATCGCCTTTAAAGTGCTGAGACTTTTCATAAATAACTTGCCACATGATGAATATTAAACACAGAAGCATTGGCTCAACCAATAGCAACAGCTAGATTTCTTGTTTCTTTGTACTGTAAATCATTTAGTTGCCTGTCAGGAATGTGTTCATGTGACAATGTGAACTTTTAGTGCCATAATGCACAGAAGGTGAGGTGGTTTTAAATTAAAGTGCCCTACGTTTTTGGTACTAAGTCAGCAAAGAAAACCATAAACATGCGATGCAAGCAAACACTTGCTTGGCTGATAAAGGCACTACAGGGGCTGCATGGTTTGGATTCATTAGGGTTGAGTTTGCAGCAAAAACATTTGAGGTATAGAACACAAAACATATTTTTCCTAGGATAAAATAGAAAGTGACTCAGTGCATCATAAACGTTTAATTTGATAGATGGATGGATAGATAGATAGAGAGCTAAGCCAACTCACCGTGCCACTCTCCTGTCAATTAGTGTTTGATCAAATATGTTAAATTACATATAACAAAGGCCTACATAAACAACAGCACATGAGTAAAATACAATAAATTGCATGAATTAATTATGATAATAATTTTGAATTAATGTAATTCAATTAAAAACGTGAAACACCTTAATTTTTATATTAAAATCGTTTTGATAGTATTTTATGTGATTTTTTAAATAGAATATTAAGTTTGTGTTTTTTCTAGTGCAAAGCTATAACCATCAACATTGTAAATAAAAAAGTAAATCATGAAATATTTCTACTACTCTTTATATGAATCAGCACCTGTACATTGTATTGTTTTATATATTTTATTTTTACGCGTGATAGTTTTGTGGTTGAAAAGAATCCGTTTCGAAATTAAAATTGAAACATATAAAAACCTAATTCAAACACAAAAGCCACAGATTTCTATCGTACAGCTCGAGCAGGCGACTGACGATCATGTTCGAACGTGAGTCATCCAGCCTGTAGATGGCAGCAGCTGCTTTGGAATCACCCGGCCTGTAGGTGGCAGCAGTGAAACTTCCAGCCTTTAATTGGGTGGAAATAGTTCAGATTGGAATTGCGATTACTTCCGGGTGTTACCAAAACAACAACTTTGCCCATAGATGCAGTGACTTTACAATGAATTTGACAAAAATTTAACATTTGACGTTTTAAAATGAACACTGGACTGAAACATTGGAAGGAGGCCGCCACTCTCATTCTAGTGGCGGGTCACAGGCTCGGCGTGGAAAATGTATCCACGCCGGGTTTTGCGTGTTCTCAGTCGACCGTTAAAACCGAAGGACGACCTCGAGTTCCTCACGTCTTTGACTACAATGTTTTGCTCCTGAAACGAAGCAGTAAAAGCGGATTCATGCCTAACGCCTATGTGTTCCCCGGAGGAATGGTGGACCCTTCCGACTTTTCGAGTGAGTGGTTGGACGTTTTCAAAGCTTTTACCAACTCTCCCAACTTTGGCTTAAGGTGCGTCCGGCAACCACCAGAGACTAGACCGCCGATATTTGCTACCGACCGGCACAAACTGGGCTCCCCTATCCCGGGAGAGGTCGCATTCCGGATTTGCGCCTTGAGAGAGACATTCGAGGAGTCTGGCGTGCTGCTTTTCGTGTCCAAAAAGGAAGAACTGAGTCTGTTAAAGAGTCTTAAAGACAGGCGCGCCGACGATGAAGTCAAACATTACAAAGTAAACGAGCTTTGCAGCGATGAGCTGAGCAAATGGCGGACTTTGGTAAACCAGAACCCGTCAAACTTCGTCAGGATGTGCAGGGAGCTGGAGGTGCTGCCCAACATCTGGGCCCTCCACGAGTGGGCCAACTGGCTGACCCCCGAGGGACAATACGGCACGAAGAGGTTTGACACGGCCTTCTTCATGTGCTGCCTGGAAGAGAGACCATGCGCCCTCCAAGACCAAAAGGAAATTCAACACTTGCAGGTGACACTTAATATACATTTGTGCCATCTATCTTGTTTGTCTATATGTGCCCTGTGATTGGTTGGTGACCCGTCCGGAGTGCACACTCCCTCTTGCCCAAAGGCAAAAGGGGTAAGCTCCATCTTACCAACAACCTTAAGGACAAGTGCTGTATAAAATGGATGTATGGGTATGATATTTTATGTATTGTAAGTACGAGTGGTAACAGTACTTGGTATTGGTATCGTTGAATACAAATGAGTGAATACTTGTACTGATATTGATCTGAAAAAACAAGCCGTATTGAACAGCCGAGGAAAAAGTTTTAAAATAATTTTTCATGGTCTCATGTTTTGATATGATGATAACCAGGCATTTGAATAGGGATGTGTAGACTTTTTACATCCACTGTAGCTCACCTCGTGTGTCGATGCATCCCAGTGGTCGACGCCCTCGGACGTCCTGCAGAGCTTCGGGGCTCGCAATTTGTGGATTGCCCCCCCACAGTTCTATGAGCTGAGGCGTATGTGCCGTTTCCTCTCGCTGAGCGACCTCCACGCATTTGCCAGTCGACGCGGCACCGACGGCTGCGAGCAGTGGCTGCCTGTCATCCTCTTCCAGGACAACGGCTACATATCAGTGCTGCCAGGTGCGTGATTCATCTGGGGTTTTTTTCCATCCCTTGACCGATTGCTCCAGTTTTTAAATTTTGTTGCTGTTCACTCGTAGGAGACCAGCTGTACCCGTCTACCGTTTCAGAAGCGACTATGGTGGAAACAAACCTGGAGATTCATGGAGGTTCTAAATCTGCGCTACATCGCTTCTTGATCTCAGACCCCTACAGTCCAGAACTGCAGGTCAACATTACACCCAAGTACAACCACACGCTGCCTCTCATTGGATCAGTGAACTCCACAACCCTTGTGGGAACAAAATAGCAGCAACTCACGAACAAGAACACTCCAGACAGAAGACACAAAATCAGGTGTTAATGTGTTGAAGCCATTTGAGTTGTGTAGGACTTAGGGACATTTCCCTCTCCCTTCACTGTCTTCGGACTTTGGCCCATGTACACGTGCTATATACACCACAGGTGCCAAACTCAAGGCCCGGGGGACAGATCTGGCCCAGTCATAATGGCGCTCCAATGGACACGGTAACAGAAATGTGGCCTGCAACAAAAATTAGGTTATCACCCCTGATATACAATATTGGTTGATTCATGCATTTGCAGGAGGTGGAGGTAGTGGGTACATATGATGGTGTTGTGCCAAATACTGATGTAATTTTTGGATGAAATAAGGTTTTTCAAAGTGAAATCACAAAAACAAGATCAGACGCTAACACAGAATCAGAGATGTAATTTATAAAATCTGATTCGTTACTCATCAACATGCCTGTGAAATAGAAATTTACAAACAAATGCAGTATGTGACTGATAAGAAAAAGAGCAACTTTAAACGCTACACGTACAGGGGCATCTTTTATTAAATTATAATGTCGTGGAACCTTCACAAACTGAAACTCCTTTATAGAGATTCATCACGTCGTGTGAAATATTACATTTATTATTTTTATTGGTTTCATGATTATTTATTACTGGTCACGAAAACCAGTAAAACACGATTTCAAGAAATTAGAATGTCACAAACAAAACCTCCATTTTCTAAAGGAAATTAGGTAGGGATTTGCCTTCTGAAAACTACTGTGTTAAATGAATCTTGAGTATCATATATATACTTTTAATGGACTACTGAAATTAAAAAAATAGCTTAACAACCTCAGCCTTTTATTCAGCCAACATTTATTTCAGTCAAAGAACAACTTTTTTGTGTAGCAATGTGAGAAATTGAATTGTGTGACTGTTGACATCAATCCAGCCGTTGAATGCCTCCTGTGTCGTGGCTATTCAGATAAAGTTAGCTTCTTGTATTATTGTTATTATTATCAAATTATAATAAAGCACAATTTATTGTATTAGGTTTTGTATTATTTTATCAAGGGAAATCAAAAACGTCCAGGCTAAATGCATTCACTGTATTTGGATTAAAATGGAAATACTGTAACACACACCTGTGTATGTCTGACAGGCTAAGTTGAAATAACACAGCTCAACCTTTGTGCTGTTTGCCTCGGAGAGTCAGTTGAGGGGTTACCATGGCAACTCCACAGCCTTGGAAACCCACAATCTTTGTCGGTGATGAGACAATGATGCATTGCCGTGCGTGGCTCGCGTCGCTGCCGAGAACTCTGTTTGGGAGAAGACTCGTTCACCTTTAAATGACCCTCCACGTATGATTAAAGTGGAATTCAACTTTTTGGGAGGAAATTGTCGAATTTTCAAGCTTGCCAAAATATATTTAGATATCTCCTGAGCTGTCCGAAATAGTCTCCAGAGTCAGCAACCCCTCACGCTTCAGAAAATTCAAGTCCGCAACATTTTAGTCCCCTCCTTCTTCGCCATGTTTAATTCATCGCAGATGTATTTTTGCATCTTTTGGAACTTTCTTGAAATGACAGGAAAGAGAAACAAGATGCAAAATGGTTTTCATGCAGCACTGTGTCCTAAGTGCTTTTGGGCTTTTTATATAAAGAAAGGACCAGTGACTTTTAAAGGATGCACAACAGCTTAAGAAAATAATGGGGAGGAATGGAAAATGTTTACATTTTTACGTTATATGTTGAGAGAAAGCAGACAACTCCAGGGGATTTGTTTTTTTTTTTTTTAACAAAGGCTAATAATGCAAACAATTAAAAACAGCGCTGTATGCCATAATATGTTCTGATGAAATTCAATTTCAAAGCTTCAGTGTTTTTTCAGTGTCGCGGTTTAAATTCAATTCACTTTTCAAAGATTGGATTTGTGCCGCTCTCTTTCTTAAAAAAAAAAAGAGCAACACCTACATCTTTTTCTCTGTTTTTTCCATATAGATATGGATTCCACAGAAAAAAAAGCAGATTTTGTTGTTTTTATGGTGTCACTGAAAGAAATGACTTGACCTTTCAACCATAGCCCAGCGTAAACAAAAAGCGTCAGTAAATGGAGTCTTTTTGTCCGTTTTTTTCCACGTATCCACTTTCAGCTTCCTACTAGCCTTTAGTGGTTGGATTTGAATTCATTGGCGTCGCAGTGCACTACTTACACCAAACCCCTCCTTGGAGCCTCAGGGCCTTAACATCTCCTGGGCTATTCTAGGAATACACAAATACTCTTAGAAGTAAAACCATTAGCCAGGCAGATCAAGCATCTCCATTGGAAAATTGAACAGCATTTAACCTTAAGGTGGTTATGTCCCAAGTAATAATCGTCTGCTTAAAATCCCTTCAGCTTTGCAGCACTTACAACGTCGAGACTTGACATTTGGCACTTTTAAAAACCAAGATGATTATCTCAAATGATTGAATTGCACAAGACAGAATACATGCAAGGACTTCTGCTAAGTGTGCTTTTTGAATTGTTTTTATTATAATAAATATACCTGATTGTATGTACATTATCTGACAGATGACTGTACAAAACCTCTATTCATATATATTCATGTACCGTATATACATACACATGTTGCAATACTGTATATACATTCAACCCTGAAAAGAAGCACAAGCTTAACAGTGAACTGGTGTGTTACTTAAAAATTTTGGCCATCTTGTTAAGGACCCCTTTTCACCCACCCACCATTTGATAGCATTAGCATAGCATTGTGATTTGATGCACAACAATCTGGCTTCATGCCAACTAGCTACACTACGGAATGGTGCCCATTAAATCACATCCAGCCCATGAAGAGCGAAGTTTTGCCTGTCGTGCTTTTCCCTCGATCAGATGGCCGCATTTGCTTGAAACAAGTCTAAATGTGAAACATCATCTAGCGTCAAAGAGGAATAGTAGTCAGGCTACATGAGCTCTCTCGCTAATCCACTTGGATTACGTGTCGCTGATGGCCAGATACTGCCTTCCATTACAGCATTGAACACATTTATGAAGACAGACTGACGAGAAAGGCAAATAACATCGAATGTGTTATACACACCCTCTGACATCGTTTTTTGAATACTGTTGCCATCACCCCCCTCTGGCCAAGTGCAGACCCAAATTCTCTCCTGTGCCACAAGCCTTAAAAGCATTCAGTCAATTGAAAAAGATCTCCAAGGGTGCATAGTGTCCTGTATTGTGTGAGGTATGTTTTGGTAGTGTCTAATGAATGGACTTCAGTTTGTGTGGTATGTCTAATGACCTGCCATGAAGTTCCTTGCAATTGTGCGGCTAAGAAAACTGCCCCACAGGGACAATAAATATATCTTCGACTCTACACTACACATGTTTTTTTATTTTTTTTCTTTCAAATTCCCTTCTCCAAAAATAAATAACCTCCGGACCCTAAAAAGTACTTTACTTCCAAATGTGCCTGACCGCCATTCTCTCCTGTTGTAGTTCTCTCTCTCTCTCTCTCTCTCTTTCTGCGGCCTTGTATTATCTCCTACATTGCTTATAGTGGAAGTAGCTAAACATGAATCACAAATTATTCATAACATTGAGAACTGAACTTTTTAAACAGCACACCACGACAGTAAGAGAGTTACTGTACTGTAGTTAAGTGGCATTTTTTAGTGCCAGTTACACCACTGCTCTTTAGGGCTGAACTTTTTTTCAATTAGGCACCCCCCCCTCCCCCACCCTGACTCAACCCCTCCAGGGACGGGCAGTTGTTCAGGACATGTTGATGACCAGATATCCAAGCACCACCGCCACAGTCACAATGACAAAGAAGACCACCACGGCGCAGATGGACGCGAAGCCCGCGTCCCCGCCACCCCCGCCTTCCTCGTCCTTGGGTTCCTCCTCACAGATGGAGATGATGCCCACGGAGGAATTTCCCACGCTCATGTTGGACTTGAGCTCTGCGCCTGCCTCCTGCTTGGCTTCCACGGCCCACGGCGCCACCTGCACCTTCATTTCCATCTCCTCCATCATCTGACTCACCTGGCCGATCTCGGCCTGCAGGTCCCGCAGGTCGGCCGTGTCGATGTTGCTGTCTGCCTCGTACTTCATGTTCTGCACGCTCATGGCGCGCGCCGCCACCGTGCTGGTGCTCCCCGTCATGCCAGTCTGGATCAGGTGCCTGGTGGGCACCTTGAGGGGGAAGTCCTGGCCTATCTCCAGCGAGCGCTTCATGTCCACCTCCAGTAGATCCATGCTGCTGGAGAAGAGCACCCATAGCCGCTCGTACTCGGCGCGGTCCTCCTTGCTGATGCTCTTGTCTTTGAGCAGAGAGGTCAGTTTAGTCCGGTTGGCCACGGCGAGTTCCTGCGCCTTTTTGCGGGTCCGCTTCAGCTCCTCGCGCAAGTTCTGCGAGTCCGACGTACTGCCCAGAGCCACGACCAGGTGCCTGTAGCACGCCGTCACTTTATTCAGGGCGTCCAGCATAGTTTTACACTCCTCTTTGCCCATGGCTGCTCAGCGACGCGCTCTCTCTCCCCCTCCGCCTCTTCCTCCCTTCCCTCCTCTTCCTCCACAGAAATATGACAAACGAGAGAAATGGCGATCTTTGTGGATCACCTCTCTCCTATGTGAGTGCACATTCCTTTCTATCCTGCATGCCGCTTCCACTCCAGGAGGTTTACGCGCCCTCAAATGGGATTTAGCCCCGTTTCCGCTCCTTTACGCACGGATGCGCAATAATCCCATAACGCGTTTCTTAAAAATACCAACTCTTAGCTACAGGTGGCAAAAATAATGAGGGGGGAAAAAAATCAAGTCCGCAAATTCAAAAATTACGAAGGAGAGCGTCATTCGGCGTTAGGAAGGGAAATAGCGTCCACTCGACATAGAGACGTTCGCCGTTTGATTCCGTTTGGCTTCGTGAGTCTATTTTGGTGGCGGAAAGCGCAATGGGTGATGTTTAAATGCCACTAAGCGCCTTCTGTGGTCACGTGCTCGCAAAAAGCGATGCCCAAGGTGACAAGCTGTAAAAGAGGGACGGCCCACAGACTGGGGGCTCGTTGATTGGCTCGCGAGGGTGCTCGTCACGTGGGAATGCACGCTGGCGTCATTGGGTCAGGCCAGTACAGTAGCGGAGATCCCTTCACGGAGAGTGACAGTCACCTTCCGCGGTTTGAATGGTTCGGCAGCAGCTGACTGCTACGCGCAGGCTCCCTTTTATTAACAGCAACAATTCGAGATGGCAAATGTACGCACACGCTGTACTTAGGTTCTGCATTTGTGTGAAAAAAAACGGACTCGAGTTAAAGCAGTGGGGGGCATTACAGTGACGTACCTTGAGGTTCATGACCGTTGAAGCACGGACTCCTCTAGAGTCCGACACATGAAGCCAGAACAGAAGATTAGCCTGTTTCAAATGTAAATGTTTTAAAGCTTTTGATAATATTAGAATGAAATTCCACGCTGCTCAACAATGTTATAGCAAAAAAAAAAAAAATCACATAAAGGCAAGTTAATTGTAGGTTTTTTTTTTTTTTTTTTGTTCCTTATCGCTAGTTCCTTTTTTGAAAAATAGGGAGTAATAGAAAAAGGAAAGTCAGCTGAAGAGAATTGTTGGACAATGTCATCTACAACAGTAATTTGCGGCAATTGCATTGTCTTCTCTTTTTTTGCTTCTTCTCCATAAAATTACCGTATATAATTGCCGCTTACAGTAAACTGCTTGAATAATGTGTTGTTTACCTGCATGGTGCCCCACTGTGTTGAGAGGTGGCAGAGGCAGTGCTTACCTCCTTTGCCCGCTTTGCTCTTTTTGAATTATTGAAGCGGATGGCGCCTAATGATCCAGTGACAGCACTGTAACGCTGATGGACTTAAGCACACAGAGAGTGAGAGAGAGAGAGAGAGAGAGAGAGAGAGAGAGAGAGAGAGAGAGAGAGAGAGAAAACTACAAGAGGAGAGAATGGCGATCAGGCACGTTTGGAAGTATAGTAGGCAGTGTAATATTGTACCGTAATAGAGCAGGGGAGTCAAACATGTTTTCCTCGCAGTTGTGGTAGCAGTGAAGTGACATAATCGTGACTAAAAAAAAAAATGGGTGTGTGACGTAATAGAAACTATCTTCTCATCCTTGTGCGTTTATCACATTCCAACTCTCCTTTTAAGAGGCAGGAATGTCCTTCTGTTGGCTCTCAACTCCCACCAAGATGTCATCTTGGTCAGTCCTTGGATTCCACTTCGTTTTGAAATTGTCATTATTGTCAGATTTTATTTTGTTTTGACTTTTTAAAAATCAGTTTGTTTTAACTAGTTTTTAGAGCAAATTTGTTCGATTTTATTCTTTTAAAATCCTTTGCTTTAGTTCAATTAGTTTTAGTATGAACTTTAGTTTTTTAAATGTATGTAGTATTTGTTGAGTGAGAAAAAAAGGTTACAGAGTATTGCTTGTGGAGGCTCTCAGTCGTACAGGAAAGTTCCATCGTAGAAAGGGTTCTGTCAGTCGTCATCTGTACCTGTGGGTAAAAAACAAAAAACAAAAAAGGACGTTTCGCTTCTCTCACAGAAGCTTCGTCAGCGGTAGACAACCCTGAAGTCTCCGTGAAGACTCCGGGAAGTTGCTCTGCGCTAAAAGGCTGAGCGTGGCCTGTTTGAGGACTGGGTGGGGATGGTTAGTCACGCCCCTATGGTGAAGAGGCCCATTGGTTTCTAAACTCCCTATCATTGGGTCTTGATTAGGCCTATTGTTTGGGCTAAGGCTGAATAGCTACTTTCAGTTAGCCTGATCAGCATGTCTATGTCCCTTACTGGTCAACAAGTTATTGTAAATAGGAGACAGGTCAAATTTGATAGTGCAGTATACGCACACTTAAAAGAAACAAACCACACAATTGAAGATGAACAAGTAAAAATCCT